ACCCTAAACCCTTAGAACCAGCCCTTTAAAGCCCTATATTCCTGAACTCTAGTGGCCGGCTCTGCGGCTTCGGAGGCCCCGAGGCCGAAGAACCTCCCCGCGCTGTGAAGGTGCCTACAGAGATCAAGGGCAGACCTTTAGGCCTAGGGCTTAATAGGGTTTAGGGAGTTTAGGGGTTTAGGGTTTAGGGTTTAGGGGTTTAGGGGTTTGGGGTTTAGGGTTCCCAGTAATAGTGACTATAGGGGATAATAGGGATTATATTAGGGTCCTCTCATAGTCCTAGTATACCCACTATTACAGGGTGGGGGGTCCTCCTAACCTAGCGCTTAACAGAAATGTGTATAGGGTTTGGGTCCGAAGAAGTTTTGACCTCAGTGTTGACCTGCGTTTTGACTTCAGTTTTGACCTGAGTTTTTGGTTTGATTTTGTCCCAAGCCAGTTTGGTGGATAATATGGCCACTGCAGCAACTTATCTGGAGAGAGTGCGAGCAGGGGTTTCCTGGTTTTGTTTCCAGCTGTTTCTTTCTTCTCGCGAACTATTTCTGCCTCGTGTTGATCGTATAGGGTTTGGGTCCCTGAGTTTTGACATCAGTTTTGACCGAAAGTTTTTTGTTCTAACTGTCCAAAGCCAGTTTGGTGCCCTGGCTCTCCAGCCCATTTCTTGAAGCTTTCTCGACTTGTTTGGCGGCAGGTTTTGAAGTTTCCCAGACTATTTCTGGCCTGGCTTTGGGGGTCTGGGGAGAGCCCACTTCTGTTTTTTTGGTGGATTTTTTTGGGTTGGTTTTGGAGCTTTCCCAAACCATTTCTGGGCTGGCTTTGGGGCTCTCCTGAACTTTGGGGCTCTCCCAAGACCTGTTGTTGGGCTGGGTTTGGGGCTGTTTTGCATCCTAGTTCTGGGTGTTCGGCGCCTGGCTGCTTTTGAGCAGAGCAGGGACTTGGAAACAGCACCGAGTGGTTTACATGAAAACAACGGACAAACAGATTTGCATGTCCGCCTGTGAAAGTATACAATTTCTATCTACTCTTGTCTTGAGAGTTGAGGGTCTTTTGGGATTCAGGGTTTTAGGGTTAAGGGCTTAGGGGTCTGGAATATTAGCCCGATAATGGGGAATCAAATGAAAGATAAATCCAAAATGGAATGGAATCTTGGTTTATGCCATAGGGGTTATTTAGGGACTATATGGACTTGGTAACACCAAAGAAGGTCTGCGTCGACCTGGCTGGTGAGCGCTTGACAAGCGCGGTGGGGGGGCCAATGCAATGTTTACCCAGGGTTGTGCTTAGACAAGAGGACTAGCTGTAGCAACACTGTTTAGTGATATGGCAGTTTACCAGAAGAAGGAGACCCCAATATAGACCCCAAGATACTATAATCCCTATGATGGGGACCCACAAAATGGTACCCCCTAATTTTTGGAAACCACCATATTCCGCAAACACAAAAAATAGTAGACGCACCCTCAGATGTGCCTCACGTAGCCTTTTTTTGGGATTGTTGGCCAGTTGAATGTTGAGGCAAGACAGTAAAAGGAATGAGCGGTGACGGATCTCAAGGGGTTAGAGGGATTGTGCGGGTACTTCTTTGAAAGTATCAGTTGTATCCACGACAAGAAACAGAATACAACGACTGCAAAACATCAACTCTGACAAGTATGAAAGACCAACACAGCAAGTTTCAAATACGTTATCCTGGGATCGAAGCTTCTACTTGACTATTAACTAGAGGTTATCGTAGTTGTTGTACCCGGGAAGAGGCTCCTGGAATTATAACTTATCCTAGTAAGTAGTCAGGCTTCTACCTCACTAAACCCTCCACCCACAAACCCCTAAACCCTAAACCCTTAAACCCTAAACCCTAAACCCCTAAACCCCCAAATCCTGAACCCCTAACCCCTAAAACCTTACACTCTGTGGTCTTTAAGGTCATCGCTCCTCAGGATGAAAAGCCGGCCGAGGAGATCTTCGAGGTGACGGCTGATGTTCCTCATCAACCCTATAAGAAGGGTTTAGGGAGGGTTTAGGGTTTAGAAGGGCTTAGGAGGGTTTAGGGTTTGGGACGGTTTAGGGTTTAGGGTTTGGGACCGTTTAGGGTTTAGGGTTTGGGACGGTTTAGGGTTTAGGGTTTAGGTTTGGACGGTTGAGGGTTTAGGGTCCCAACGACGGAGATGAAATGGAAAAGAGAATCACAGAACATTGAATCTGGGTTGTATCTAATGGTTTATAGGCATCAGCGTTTCCCCAAATTCGGGGTACCCTTTTGGGGGTCACTATAATGAGGATGAGAGTGTTTAGGGTTTAGATTTGGGCCCCCCTATTTGGGGAAACTACCAGATCACGATGCGGAAGGAGGTTTCAGGGTCTAGAGTTAGGATAAGTTTGGAGATTACGTTTAGATTTTTTCGCGGAAGTGTTTGAATTTTTTTGGTACTGGAGGGGGCTGTGACAGCAACCTTTCAGGAGGCTTGGAGACTATATGGTTCCTGTAGCCTTTCATAACAGGATTTTTAATTTTGGTGTTGACGACTTTTTTGTATATGGGAGTTTTCTGTACATTGGGGTCCATGCATGCTAGAGGGCTATTCTACCAGGAATTAAAGGCGAGCCTGACTGAGGAAACGTCTCGGCGTTCCTGTGAATGAAGTGTCCCGCATGGCATCCCAAAGGCAGAGATCTGATAATAGCGAATCTTTCAGACAGACTCATGATTTGTGAGAACCCCATCCAGTGAGGGCCTTCTACAAAGAACACTCATTTTGGTCATGGCCTTTGCCCATATATCCAGACATATTCATGACGTAAGATGCCACCAGCCAGGCCTTGTGTTCATGACTCAGGTTCATAGGTGTTGCTGGTGAGGAACTCGATCTTGTGGATTCCTGCTGAGAAACGGTTTCGAGGAATGAGGCTTCATGCTTCTGTGCCCTGGGTAACCTCTGGGAAGTGGCCAGTGAGTTTCAGGATGTGTAGGGTAAGGGCAGGATACTGTTACAGTTCGGTAAAAAGTTAGTTGAAGCTTCAGGGTTCAACAGAATTATACCTCCTATGCGAGTTGAAGCCGCGTGTTCGTCCTGCAGCCGCTGCCAAACGCAGAGAAGGCTTAGTGAAAGGAAGGTGCTGAGCCATGTCGAAAGACTCAGGCTATGATTCTGCAGCAGAGTCCGTGTCCTCGTCCGAGGTCGTCCACGCTGTAAATCGGCTTGTGCAAGAAGACCTCGGGGATGGACCGCTTATTCTTCCCTTGTACAGCAACCTGATGCAAAGGCGGGAGCAGTGTGTGAATGGGCTTTGCTGTAGTGGCAGCTGCAAGCCCTGCCTGTTCCACAAGGCATCGATGGGGTGCCCCCGGGGTGCTAACTGCCTTTACTGTCATGAATGCGACATTGATGCTGACCGAATTCCACAACGACCTCGCAAGACCCTACGCCACAAGATCAAGAGGAACGTGGAGGAGTTGCTGCAGAGGTTTGACACTTCACCAGAGCGCGTCCACGACCAACTGCAGTCCATGGCCTCCAGCAGTCATTATGCGGCCAACTTCTTGGCAGGCGGAATGAAAGGGGTACAGAATATCTGCAGCTAAATGTATGGTCGCCAGGGCCTGTTTTCCATGTTGACAACCAGCTGTAGGCACTGCACCATGGGAGTGTTACATGTTGCTGGTAGGTTTAGGGATCAGAAGTTCAGGTGATTTCTATCAGAGTACAGAAGTGAGAGCCTAATGTTCAAAACTTGTACAGTTGTCAGGGTTTTGGTTTGGAGGGATCTGCACACGTGCGCACAACGGTGTATGATTGGAGTTGCAGTTTGCCGGCGACTTCGCATATGGCGTATAAGCCTTTGATAAGCCTGAACAACTAGAATGAGAACAAATGTCTCAAGGCATGCAATTTTCTGGCTGTAGAAGCTGAGAACGCATCTTCATCGAATCAGAGAAGGGGGACACTGGCACCTCGCAATCCCATCAAAACACCACTGCAAACCCGTGATCATCCTTATCTCACCTCCCGCGCCCTTAAAAGCCTGAGGCATTGTTGTGGAGAACGCAGATGATAACAACGAAGCAGCATCTACCAGGGACTGAACCCTTCCACCCTGGACCCAATGTGAGACCACCCAACAATTTCCTGAAGCCATCAGCCTCTCCACACAGAGCCCAACCTGTAGCACTCCTGTAGCTGTAGAGAAAAAGCCATACTACCCCAAACCCAAGCTGTTAAAGGCCCTCAGCCCCACTGCGAGAGAGCCCCCCATAAGTTGGGTTGCAGATAAGGAACTTAATTCAAGTTACCATAAAAAGGTATATGTATATATATATATATTTATACACATATACATGTAAATATATATATATATACATATATTCTTATAATAATTGCTATGGTTTCCCCAATGTAGTAATCTAAATTAAGTTCCTCAAGAGTCACCCGGCTTCGCAAAGGCCGTGTTCTGGGGAAGCCAGGCCGCCCTGGGAAGCATCTCGAAGGCTTCCCTGGCCGAGTTGGGTTACCAGGGGTTAAGTTAGGGCTTAGAGTTTAGGATTTA